AAAAAAATCGACTGTATAAATTAAAATGGCCCACCCTGTATATTGTATATATAGACATAAAGAGAGGAGCGAGCAGGTAGAGGCAAGCGAGCGCAAAGGTGAGAAAGAGGTGGAGGAGTGGTTAGCGGGTACGGGAGAAAGAGAGAGAGAGGCGAACAACTTTACAAACCTGCATTCCTCTACTCTGCTTTTTCAAACGCGTACAAGCCGCTGCATCGGCGGAGAGACCGGCCGCACTCGCTGTGCATTCAAGTTCGACGCGCGCACGTATATAATAATGCGACTCGGACGGGCTGAATGAAATTGCGATCGCGACCGTCCGCCGTGCGAAATCGTACAATTCGTGAAAACGTGAACGCGGCCACCGGAATGGAATCCGTAGAGCTGGAAGACGGCGCGAGCATACGTGAGTGCGCCAGAATGCATGTAATCCTCATTTCCACGTGTCATGTCACTCAGAGATTTATATAGCAGTGCGTGAATGGATATATCAGCCGTGTTTCATATCGTCGCAAAATTACATTGGTCACGGTTTGCATACAATAGGAGTGAAACGACACATCGTTTAATACAAGGGAAATTAAAGTAGAGTATATATTATCGCAAAACAAGCAAATATGCACCTCGTTTTAAGTTGCTTACTCCTAATGACACGCGGAGAGAATCATCTATCCAAATTTACCCTGAAAATCGTGTAATCGTGGGACAATGTGGCATTTTCAAGAACTTTGTGAAAGTTTTTTGACCTACCGTATTTTACTACACGGAAAAAAGAATGATGTATCGACACGATCGGTGCAATTGAAATAAAATCGTTGAAACAACATCAGATTGTTGTCTTAATAATCTGGATATATAGTTCAATGCTTAAAATTCAAATCCATAGCAAGTACAATTGAGTGAATTCATTTATGTTTGTGGCAGCTCGTGAAACATTAACGTTCAATTCAAGCGACTTCATATCTTGTTTAATTCAACAGCATCTTATTCCGCGTAGTAAAATGCATACCAAGGGCCAGTCTCGTAAACGTCGGTTAACTGTTAACCAGAGTTCAGTCAACTCCCTATCTTTTTCTATCTTATTATCTAAGAAGAGACAGAGAATCAATTAACCTTCGGTTAGCAGTTAACCGACGTTCGCGAAACTCGCCCCAAGTATTTTTAACTTACTAGTGAAATGTAGGTATGGTAAAATTTCAGAGACTCATAAAATTCTTTGAATTTTCAAGATAAATTTTAAAAGAAAATTCTGTGTAGCCTCCCAACGTCTATGTCGAGCGTGTATCTATCGACGCTATTGGTGTCCGATTAAATCGCGTTTCGTCACGCATTTGCTACGGCCCTAAATTTTACTTTTCCACGCCCATGTTTACGTTGTACGCGTCAACCGAATTCGAGAGAGACGATAGCACTTTTACACGTAAATTTCTTTGCGGCACATTCAGGCATAGCATGGAGCTTTCGATTCCCATCTATGGGTACTCTGCAGAACCTAGGTACCAACAGCCGACGGCGCAAACGGAATGGCCTCGCTTCGTCGGACTCGTGTAAGGATCTTCGGCAGAAGAGACACACGATACACCTGCAGCCGGAAGTAATCATTCAGAAGGAACCGTGCTTGATCGTGACTCCACCGTCACCTGAGGATCTCGTTGAGGATAACTCGAGGTACGTATGAAACGCGTGACTACGCACGACCACATATTTGAGACCGCATTTAAAATAGCAGAGATACCAAAGAGATGACGCGACCAGCGCCAAAAAATTGCGGCAAGTTTTAACTTTTTATTGTGGAGGGTTAAATTTTCTTTACCTACTTGGACCGTCGTATAAAGAGAATAACGAGTTAAAAACGTGGTGCATGCGAGGCGAAAGCTGGGGAAGAATGCGAGGAACACGAATAAATGAAGGTGAATAAGGGATTAAGTACTACTATGCGAGAGACACGACTAAGTCGAAGGCCCAAAGTTATAGCTTATGAATTAGCCTTCTTTGAGGGTACATCGAGATACCAGTACAGGAATATAATGGGCCTGGCGACTCTCGAACCGGTTTCTCTCGATCTCTACCTTCAGAATGACGCACCCCGTTCCCGCGAGCGGCCAACAAATGCGGGAATTCTGTAACAGGAAAATAAAACCGGGAAACTATAACCGAGCCACCTGTCATCGAGAAACGCGACCTCGGACATCGTGACCCACTCGAGAGAAAAATGCGCACGTCACTCCGAGCGTTATCGAGATGACTGACGGATCAAAGAAACCTATCAATCATTCACGAAACGTTCTCTCCTGATTAATCTCGACGAGATCCGTAGAGAGATGCGTCCCCCGTTCCCGTGTAAAAACTTAAAACGATATTGTTTGAGCGACAGACGCGCACAGAGGGATATCTTCCCCTCGGGCGGCTTTCGAGATAAATCCCGGTGCAGATGCACGGCCGGTCAGCAGCGGTGGCAGCGATCCTGACGAATGTTACATTTACATGCGAGACTCCGTGGCGGTGACATTGCAGCCCGCAGGGAGATAAACGATTTTGCAACCGCTCTTCTTCAAACCGCGAGTTTTGCCACTGACTACGCAAGATTGTTTCTTTGTTTCTCTTATTTCAGTCGAGCTCGTTGTTTTACACTGAATTACTCTGAGAAACTTGAGAGCTGTTCAACTTACTCGTCATTTGTTTATACAATTTCATTTACAGACACATATTATACGTATATAATATGGATACATTTTATTTATGATAAGTAATTTTTAAACGACCTACACTGGCCAATGTTTTAATTTAGAAAACACTACAACGTTTCGGTCCCGGATTTGGACCCTTTTCAAGTAATCTGAAATCGTACACAACTCAACACTAAACATTTTTCAAAATAAAGTAATTATAATGTAACATTGTAGCGTTTTTTAAATAAAAACACTGGCCAGTGTAGGTCGTTTAAAAATCACTTATCATTGGGTTTAAACTACTGGCGATATTAAATCGATTTGTGAGTTAGTTTATTTATATTCTCATTCATATTTGTATATTATCGCATTGCATCTAACAATGTAATAATACAAAAATTTATAGTTCATACGAGATTATTTTATCGCAAAGATTAAACAATTCTCAATTACAGAGGATGGAATTAAAAACAGCCTGAACAAGCAATTACACTTTAAAGTCACTTCTCATACGAGAAAATATAACATCGGCCTAGGGCATATCTCGATGGCGCCGCTTATCGAACGTTTCCGGATGACGCAAGCGCACCTTGGCCGTCGACCCCCTCCGTATACGCAGCCCCTTGTCCGAGGAGATCAATAACCCCAGTATTGACGGAACCCGGTCGAAAGCGATAAAAGCAATGCACTTTTATTCCATCTTGCATTACGTCTTCGCGATATCAGAAGATACGCAACGCGAGAAGACCCCATCGTCGGCACGCATGTACTTTCGATATCCGTCATCAGTCAAAGCCACTCGCTTTGACGAAGGAGAGAAGGGGCGGGTATAGAGTTGGGAGCGGGTGTGGAAACGAACGCGAGGGCGATAACATCGCAGTAGTGTACCACCGGGGGTTCAAAGATGCGTAATAATCGCGGATAAATGTAAAATGCGACAGACTTCAACTTTTCTCTTATCTACCCTCGCGTGCGATTTAAAGTGGCGCGAGAAGAAATGCAAAACCGACCGCGATGGCTAAACGCAATATTGCACTCTTCGCGGAGAAATAATTGCGCGTTTAAATCGCCCGACAAACGACGACGATTTAATGGAGTTAACAGGCCGTGTGTCGAGTTACGCTCACCAACAACGAGAGCAGCATCGTTACTTTCTACGCGCTCGTTATCCGCTACGGCGTGGCCCCTCATCGCGCGAGACCCAGCTCCGTCGGATTTAACTCGTTGGTTAATCGCCGGCAGCGCGTACGAACGGACAAAGAAGTCGACGGGAAGGAAACATTTTCCTTGGCACGCGCAACCGATCTTTCCTCTTTCTCTTTCTCTTCCTGCCTCCCGCCCTAACCCCGCGATCTATTAATATCAGCTCGATGGTACCCCCCGCGACACCCTGTGAAAATACGATCCTGCTTGAATCGCTGGTCAGTGGGGTGCGTGCGTGCGCGCGCGCACTCTCTGAACTCGAGAGTCGCGGTCAAATTCTATCCGCCCGTTCGAAGAGCCGCACGGAGCTCTCCTTCTGGACGGAGGTACCGGGGATCTATGGGAGGGAACCTTGCCGGAGGTCAGGCACGAAGCGCAGAGATGTGAGCGACTGAAAGTGTCGTTCTGATCGCAGGACGCCGGAGGAAGACAGCGACGCGAGGGTGGATCGCGGCACATACCCACCGAGTGGCCAGGAGCCACCCCTGACGAAGGCACCCGAAAGCGACAACAACCTGTCCCCACCGATGGTGAGTACCTGATCATGTACAGGCTGTTTATCTTCCCCAAGATTAAGTTTTGTCCGCTGCTTGCGGAGAAATTCGTGTTGGATTAATTAAATAAATCCAGCCTCGTGTAATCATGAATATTCATACGAGAACCGATTTGGCTAGATCCAATTAATTCATCGTACACCGAATGTCGTGTACAATAGATATTGTATCTATCAGCTATCTATCCCTCGCTAAATCCCGGAAATCCGGGATCGATTCGTCCTTAGCGAGTATGTCAACGTTATCGTTAGCGAGTTGTATCAATTTGCAGTTAATTTTGAAATCACGTGTATCACGTGAGGTAAAATCTTAAAACTAAATGAGACATGAGGTTTTTACTCCTTCGTGTTCCTCCGAAACTTGAAATTCCCGAACAGTCTTTTCGATCGTTCATAACACAAAAACTGGTCTCCGATGTCTCTCTTCGTAAAAATTTTAATTTGATAAAACAACCTATAAAAATGCACTAGCCAGAACGTTTTTCCACGTCGCGTCGCGTCTCTCACACACATTCGCGTAATCGATCAAACGCGTAATTATAGGTTTAAGTTATTCAAGTGGCAACGCCAGCTTCTTGTCGCGCGTTATATAGGAAGCAATTAAATAGAACGATACGCTCTCGAGTACAAGCAATGATGGGTTGCGAGATAGCCGGGCTACTTGACGCGGCACGTCGATGACGAGTCGCAGACCATCGACGGCAACACGACGGGGAACTCAAGGCTGCTCTTGTTAAGCCAATCTTCGCTGGACCGCAGACTCCGGGTCTCTTTCCAGCATTGATTGCTACAATTGTCTTACGCGGAACGTTCGAGCTTCTCTTCTCTCGTGCCGAGTAATTAATCAACAATACGAGAATGCGCCGGCGTGATATATTCAAATTGTTCACGATAATAATGATTCGTCCGTTAGTGTTAAAGAAGAGTTCATTGCCAGAGTCAAGTTTTTAATCGATGTTAACTGGGCGTTTTTCTTTTTCAATTTAACGGTTACGTATATCCGCGATATCTCAATTTCTCTCTTAATATGCACACGGAAACAACGAATGATGTTGTATCAACAAGATCAGTGCAATTGAAATAAATCCGTTGAACAACGTCAGTATTAATAAACGAAAAACATCAGATTGTTGTCTTAATAATCTGGATATTTAGTTCAATGCTTAAAATTCAACTCCATAGCAAATGCAATTGAGTAAATTAGTTATGTCTGTGGCAGCCCGTGACATTAACGTTTAATTCAAGCAACTTTATTTTGTTTAATTCAATAGCAGGTTTTTTTCCGTGCATATTTAAAATGAAATAGTCCTGTATTATGAGATAGCAGGTTTTCAACACCCAAATACAATCACAAATCTTTTCTCGCAACGATTACACAATTTAACAATGAATTTTCCACTAAACATATTTCGCTCCGAGGGCAATAAATTGATAATGGAATCAACTGATGACGCCTGTTAATTTAACAGAAATCCCGCTGTCCCATATTAGGATCCTATCTCATAATAGAGGACTTTCCTATATATTAGCAAACAAAACGTTTGAAAGTAAATTAGGTAACTAAATAGAAGTGAAATTCAGATAATATCGAAGCCTTGCCTTTACATCGGTTTCTAAGGAGCCGTCTGAAGAGTCTATTCGTAAACTCCTGGAAAGAGAATTGCGGCTTCTCGATCCTCGAGATCTACGATCGCACGCCTGGTACCATGGCAGCACGTTGCGCGGTGGACGGAAAGGCGCGGAGGCGGAAGTGCCAAATGACGGGGACTTCTTGGTGCGCGATTGCGCCTCCCAACCCGGCAATTATGTCCTAACCGTACGATGGAAAGGGCAACCGTTACATTTCGTCATCAATCGAGTAAGTTGCCACGAAATTGAGAAGAATCGCTTTAAAAATCCTAATCTTACATACGAAAATAAGTCGGGATCTTTGAGTTTTAACATTCATGTTCATGTTAGACAGATTGGTAAAATACGTCCGAGATTTCCTTCTTTCTTAATCGTTTTCGATTAGTAAAGAAATATTAAATGTATTCATTATTTAAAGTGTTTTAAAACTAGTTCAATCCTACGAAGATTTAAAAGATTAAGAAGTAATGTAATTCTTCCTGTGATAGGTCGTAATTCAGCCCGACACGGTTTACGAAAGGGCGCAGTATCAGTTCGAAGACGATGCCTTTGACACGGTCGCCGACCTGATAACCTTCTACGTTGGCAGTGGTCGACCGATCAGTCAAGCCAGCGGAGCCCGAATTATTACTCCGAAGCCCAGATCGGTTCCATTGACATGCGTTGCACCGCCCTCGAGTAATCAACACTGCTCTAGTCCTTCTTCCACCTCTCTGTCGACCGGTTCGCCACCTCGCCTACCCAGAAAACAGCAACGCAGCCACTCTCTGACCGCTCAGCATCATGTCCCGGAGCAGCACGTCGCCCGGGACAACAACCAACAAACGGGACCGCAGTTACCTATCCAATCTAGTACTTTACCACGTGTACCGCCAATTCAAAACCAACCGCCCTCCTGTTCTCTGTCACTGGGACGCCAAAAGATCACCCGGGTGATATCGGACCCAGCGCTACAGCAACAACAGCAACAGCCACCGAGTCTGAATCTTCAAAATACCCTAAGCACGGCGCCACCCAAGCCTCCCAGGGTGCCCTACGTGCCGAATCACCAGTACCACCATCATCACCATCATCACCACCATCACCACCACCATCAGAGCTATCAGGCCTCCGGCAGCGACAGCGGGAACGGATCGGGTGATAGCGAGTTCGAGACTAATAATTCTGGCGGTGCCAGCAATCCCACTTCGGTGCCGATCAAGGGTGTGGTGATACGCAGCCATTATAACACCAATAACGATGGCATCAACGGCAACAACAACAGCGAATACGAATTGTCGGCAGAGGAACAGTTGGTGGTAGCCGCGCCGTCTCTAGAGATCGCTACGATGCTCGACATCGAGGGTTTTACGACATTGCTGTTACCAGCCGGCGAACACAGACCTCTGGACCCGACCGCCCTGAGAGGAGTCTCGGGAATGTTACTGGATTCGGCGCCGAGAGTGCTCGCATCTCACCTTACGAGGCTCGATCTCGAGGTAGCGCTTCAACCGGGACCAGGAAACAGAAGTGGATTAAGCGGTATCGAGCTGGCGACTCTTCCTCACGGTAGACAGGCTAGAATGGATCTGATCGAGAGATCCGAATGCATAAAACTATTGGTGGCGGTCACCGTGCTGGCTGGCGCTACGGCTATAGGTGAGTTTTGAAACTTGTTAATTTTTTTATTCAATTAACAATTTCGACTATGATGCATGTTTATCAAATTCAGTGAGAAGGAAAACGTTATAGCCAAAATTTACACGAGACAAGTCCAAAGGCGGAGCACTCGATCTTTCTTAATTTTTAAGCAATCAATTGTTAATTATCGCAGAGAGAGCGGCTACCATCAGCAAATGGATCAAAGTGGCAATCGACACGAAAACCGCGCTCGGTAATCTTTACGGCTTCTGCGGCGTGATGCTCGGCTTGTGCCTGCCGCAGATTCAGAGACTAGCCAACACGTGGCACCTGCTGCGACAAAAGCACACGGACGAAGCATTCAGCTTCGAGGCGAAACTAAGGCCTACTCTACGGGCTATGAACGAGTGTACCAATCCGCAGGCACCTAACACGACGTTACCACATTTGCTACCGATCGCGCTACTTGGAGAACGCGGTCCCGAAGACGTTCTAGGTACCCACATAAAGAATAATTATTTTCATTAATCGCAACTTGGATTATCGACGAATAAACAGAAAAGGCATCTTTCTATTTTAGACGCTTCCGCGCAATTATTCTAGATACAAATATTTGTTTCGTTAGCGTCTGTTTTGTTATTGTGAATTGCTAATTCACAATTGCTACATTGTGTCCATTTAGCGAAATTGATTGTAGGTACCGTGGCACCTTTCGGACTCACGGCAGCGATTCTTTCACCGTGGGAAAACTCGGCGTCCGATTGCGGCCTATCGATCGTCTGGTCGCATCTCGAGGCGGCTCGCAAGCTCGCCGATAGTCTACCGCTCTTCCGCAGGAATGCGGAGATCGCGCTGGAGGGTTGCAGGAGCGACGAATTGCTCTCGGACGCCTTTCGCACCGAATTTCACATCAAGTTCTTATGGGGCAGCCGCGGTGCCACCGTAGCTCCGGAAGAACGTCACTTGAAGTTCATTCAGGTCTTGGACGCAATGTACGACAAGTGTGTGGCGAGCGAAGTGGCAGCTTAAAAAGCGACCATAGGATCTCAAAGATCTGAAGGGGTATTCGAAGAGGCCTTCGCGCCCTCTTCCTCCAAGTGCTCGGTGAATGTCACCGTTCTTTCAGACTTTTATAGTTAAAAATTAAAACATCCCGTGCATTAATCAAGTGATATCATCCTATCGCTACTATAATCGTAGAGAGCGTAGTCCCGAAGTATAACAAACCCTGCCAAACATCTAAGCCCGACGCTTGTTCCGAGTCGTGTAAGCAATGGCACCCAAAGAATCGATCGAGGAGCTTGACCGAAGCCTACCTGTATCGTCAACTGTACTTAACTTTAATTGACAATGTAATTCTATAATGTTATGTTGTAAGTGTTGTTCATATTTGTTCATACTTAATAAACAGATTAAAAAGGTATTGCTCAACTGACTCAAACCTTCAGCGCAATTTTTGTCAAAACTCTCTCGAGACAACAGATTTGGAAAATATTACACGCATTACATGTAATTACATGCGATATTCGCGGATTCACGACCGCCATTAAGATTTTAATAGAATTACAATTAATACTTGCAGCTTTCTAACACACGTGTAACGAGTCATGATTTATCTTGTAATTTGTAAAGTACGAATATAAAATTCAAATTATTTTAAAATATTTAGAAAACTTTACTTTTCGTTATTACGTCAAATTTTTTATTTTAACCAATTTTTTAGTTTTTATTTAAAGAAAGGTATTTACTGAGTTGCAGTTTCCGGAAAGTGTATGAGCGTTTCTAATGTTTCATAAATCCTCTTTGAATTATCGTTCATAAATTAGTTGAATAAGTACGAAAAGACGATTGATTCCGCAAGTAACAGAATATTATATGCAAATAATAAATAAATCACTCACCCAACCGATGTCACTCGGCGCTCTCCAAGCTACCTTCTCTTCCATTTTCTCCAACTCCGCCTCGCAGTTTCCTCCATTGTCCTCGTACAACTTAACGTTTCTGAAAACAAATAATTTTTCATTAAAAAAAGATATTTAACCGAGTTAGAGTTACAGTTTCCAGAAAGTATATGAGCTTTTCTGTTTCGTAAAACCTCTTTTGAACTATCGTTTGTAAATTAGCCGAATAACTACAAATAGACAATTTATTTCGCAAGTAACAAAATATTATATGCAAATAATAAATCACTCACGCCACGCTTCCGATGTCACTCGTTGCTCTCTAGGCCTCCTTCTCTTCCATTTTCTCCAACTCCGCCTCTTCCATTGTCCTCGTACAACTTAACGTTCCTGAAAACAATTCATTTTTCATTAAAAAAAGATATTTAACTGAGTTAGAGTTACACAGTTTCCAGAAAGTATATGAGCTTTTCTGCTTCGTAAGTCCTCTTTTAAACTATCGTTCATAAATTAACCGAATAAGTACGAATACACCATTTATTTCGCGAATAACGACAATATTATATGCAAATAATACATCACTCACGCTACGCTTCCGATGTCACTCGTTGCTCGCCAGGCTTTCTTCTCTTCCATTTTCCCCAACTCCGCCTCGCAGTCTCCACCATTGTCCTCGCGCGACTTAACGCCTCTGAAAACATAATTAATTAATTACGACCGCGCGTACGAATTACAGGTCGAGAATACGACGCTCGCGCGGCGCGTTCCGCTCGCGGCGACGCGTTCCCCTCGCGGCGACGCGTTCCGCTCGCGGCGACGCAACCAACGCGCGAAATTCCGCGAGACTCCCGCGATGTCGCGTTATAACGCGAGCCGACGTCTATTTAAAGCGTAAACTCCATCTCCAATCGATAATTATTTCGGTAAATGAATGCATTATCGGTACTTTCCGCCAAATTCTCGCTCGACTCGAATTGTCGCCGCCATGTTCGGCAAATCCGCGCCAAACTACCGCGACCATAGATGTCGCGCGTGGCGAAAGAGCGAGAGAGAGAGAGAGAGAGAGAGAGAGAGAGAGAGAGAGAGAGAGAGAGAGAGAGAGAGAGAAGAGAGAGTGCGTCCGTTTCACGCACGACGCGCATCATTTATCCTTGTTACTCACGAAATGTTAAAGAAGGATAAACGATCTGCACTGTGCGCATCGTGCGTGAAAACGTAAAGCGTACCCGGTGAGAGAGACGGCGAATCCCGCGAGTGCCGGCCGTCTCTTTCTAAAGCCGGACGCGGCGGGTGGGGCGCGGCGCGATCCATAGTTTCCAGGGCGACGGGGGAGAGAGAGAGGGCGCGAGGGATGGCTGCCGCGGGCGCGCGTGGGGGGGGGGCGGGGGGGGA